GCCGCCGCCGTCGTCCCCGCCGCCTCCTTCTCCCCGCGGTGCTTCTTTGACGACCCCATGACTAGTGCGTCCGTCTGGAGCCGGGCCGCCACCCGAGCCCAGACGACGCAAAATGGGAATACTTCCGGGTCGTGCGGCCGCCGCTGCGCTGTTGCCGGAAACTAAGAGCGGCTGCTTCCGGGGCCGGCCTGGGAACCTCCAGAGGCTCATGGGAGGGACGGGTTGAGACTGCGCATTCCCGGCTCCCGGGGACTGGCTCTGCGCATGTGCACCTGTAGAGGCTACGGGGTCGGCATTGGCTCTCCCGGGTTAGAACTGTAACAGCTTTGGAATCGTGCTAAAAGCCACCGTCTGCGGAGCTGGGAGCTCTTTCCCTGACCTTTCCACTCCGAGAGCCTCGTGGCGCTCTGTGCCTCAAGCCTCTTCGTGGGCGTCCCCTCCTCCAGTGATTGTCCTTCTCGTAGGCTCCCCGGGGCCGGGGATCCGTCCGGGGTTGGAAGATACCGCATGTTTTCTTCTTGAAGAAACCAGCTGCAAAGCCCCAGACTTGCAACCCCAATAAACCACTGTTGCCAGCGAATGCTACCGTCGCCCACTTTCCCTGGATTGGTAGATTGGGTCTTTTTAACCTGAGCTCTGGACTGCTACGGAACACTATGAATTTGTGCCTGTGAACCCCGTGAAATTGAGTGCTGTTTTTGTTTCTAATTTTCTTTTTAAGATAGGGTCTATATAGGTCTGGTTGGCCTAGTGCTTGTTACGTAGCCCTGGCAGGTCTCGAACCCTCTGGTTCAGCCTCCCGTGTGCTGCGAGTGGCCGGGATTTCAGGCATGCTCGCCCAAGCCAGGCTCAAGTGCAAATTGGGCAGATCCGTTTTTCTTTTGCCTGCCTGCCTTCCTTCCTCCCTTCCTTCTTCCCTCCCTCCCTCCCCCCCCCTCTCTCTTTCCTTCCTCTGTCCCGTTAACTATGTGGCCTCAGTCCGGGATTACAGGCACAAGCCACAATGCCTTGCTTTCCCAGCCTTTTCTCTCTTCCTGGGCTTTTTTATTTGGTTGATTGCTTGTTTGGTTTGGTTGTTTTGTTTTGGTCTTGAGGAGATGAGCTTTAAAGTTAAGGATTCACACACTCCCTTCTGCTACTAGTTGCTCCTCTGTGGGTTTCCTGTGTAGCACACCTCGGCGTGTTTTGGTATGGTTTTCCTGCTCCTTTACGGCTCTGCTCTACTACTGAGTCTTCAGAGGTGGACCTGTTCACTAGCATTTCTAGGTGTCCCACTCAGTAGCAGAGACAGCATGTGTTTGCTGAGGAAGGGGTGCAGCCAGGGTTCCCAGAATATGTGGGAAGTAGCTAAGTCCAGGCCACCCACTTACCACTGCCCCCCCCCCCGCGCCCCACAATGCATAACCAACTCCCGTCAGAAGTCTCACACCATACTTGCCATAAGCATTTAATTTTTATCTCAGGGACTGTGCTGGGTTCAGGGTCGGGGAGGAGAGTCTTCCAGACTGATGGCTGGTGGCTTCTATCTTTGGGGGGTTCTGAAAAGAGTGCTCCATTTCTACTCCAAATGACCGGTGGCTCCTTAAAAACACAGATGGAGGCCATTGGGCTACAGCACCCACCTCTATGCCCAATGCAGCCTTTTACCCTGTGGGTCCCTGGGAAGTGACACTCTACTGAAATCTAGGGGTTTTGTTTTGTTTTTTCTGTGAAGATAATTCCTGCTGTATACCAGGTTATTTATTCTAAGGTGTCAGGAACAGTATCCATAGGGTGACAGTATGGTACCAGCTGCTTGGCCTATCTTGCTCAGAGTGCCAGACTAGCTTTACTGCTTACTTGTTCCTGTGTCCTCAGGTAAAGTCCTACTCCTCTGCCTCATTGGAAGGTGGGAACGATAACCCTGGCCCACCTTCCTGAATGATATGAAAACACTGGAAGGAGCGGAGGCTTGTGTGGATGTCTTGTCCCACCTCACCTGTGCTTCCGAGAGAAGCTCTCTGCATTGCCTGCCTCAGCCAGCAGCTGTTCCTCATCTACTCCCAGTGCTGACAGCACCTGGGAGAAGCGCCGATTTGCTGTGAGCCTGGCATTGGTCTGATGAGAAAAAAAGAAGGTTCCTATTATTCACCAACGCTGCTGGGGTCACCGTAGGATGCTGGTTATTAAGAAAAGGGTCCCGGGCCCTCTTAATAAGTGGACCCCACTCCAACTTTGTTTCATTGCAAGGCAACTGGGGGGGGGTGCTGTTTGCCTGCACGGGGGCTAACCCTCACCTGCATGGCCTGCTGGAACAGGAAGGGTCGGGCCTGCACCCTGTGCTGGATGCCCTGCAGCTCCGCCTGGTACTCAGCAAAACGTTGTCGTTCCTTGCGCCTGTGAAAAAGATGGGCCTCTGGGCAGCCGAGCATGAACACTCCCCAGGCCAGACACTGCTGATCCTCATTGAAGCTTATTAATATACAGGTTCCCCTGACTCTTACAAAACCATTTCATTCCCATTCTGGCCCTGTATTTCTTGGGTGGGATTATTAGGGTGGAACTTATTTGTCCCCTTTTACTGATGGCTCAGGAAGGTCACAGGGACTCATCAAATTTAGTAGGATTGAGCACCTGTCCCAGGTTTAGGGTGTGCATCCAGGGCTTGCCCTATGTTCTGGCCACCGCCAAAGGAAGGATAAGACCTGGCTTCTGAACTTCTGCTTGCACAGCCTCCCCTTCCTAAAGCTTATCCCTCTTGTTCCTTAAGAAACGACAAATAAAAGGACATCTCCTAAAATTGGGCCTGGGGGCTAACATTTGGGAAGCTGAGGCAGGAGAACTCCCTGAATTCAAAGCCAATCTGGGCTACAAAGTGAGTTCCAGGCTAGTCTGGATTGCACAGTGAGACTATCAAAAACGAACAAACAAAAAAGATCTGGGCTGCACTGGAGAAAAACCTATTTACAAAAGTCAGCTTGAGGATGTTTAGATGGCTCAGCAGGTCAATGTGCTTGCCACACTTAAGGCTGGCAGCTTTGGTTTAAGCTCCAGAGCTCAGAGTTGTCCTTTAACTGTGCTTTGACGTGAACTCCTCCTCCCACGTGGTGCACATGCCTGTGAGTTCAGCATTCACCAGGCACAGGTAATAGAATAATCTTTTGTGCACCATGTAAAGATGTGTCTCTGTTTTACTTCACAGCCTAAGGCACCTTCTGATTGGGTTAATAAAGAACTGAATGGCAACTGGGCGTTGGTGGCTCACACCTTTAATCCCAGCACTAGGGAGGCAGAGGCAGGCAGATCTCTGTGAGTTCGAGGCCAGCCTGGTCTCCAGAGCGAGTGCCAGGATAGGCTCCAAAGCTACACAGAGAAACCCTGTCTCGGAAAAAAAAAAAAAAAAAAAAAAAAAAAAAGAACTGAGTGGCCAATAGCTAGGCAAGAGAGGATAGGTGGGACTTCCAGGCAGAGATAGGAACTCTGGGAAGTAATTTGAGACAGGAGATTCACCAGCCAGATGCAGAGGAAGTCGGACATACAGTATCTAGAAGAGGTAAGAAGCCATGTGGCAGAATGTAGATTGATAGGAATGGGTTTGTAAGTTTAAAGAGCTAGTTGGAAACAAGCCTAAGCTAAGGCCAAGCTTTCATAATTTAAAAAAAAAAAAGTGCCTGTGTCATTATTCAGGAGCTGGCAGTTCAAAGAAAGACCGGTTAGAAGTAGGAAGATCAGAAATTACCCTCTGCCACATAGTTCTAGGCCAACTTGGGCTACTTAAGACTACAAATCTGCTCACCTAGCCCAGTGTTAACTCGGCCTTCTGACCTTACATTCCTCACAGGATGAGGTATCTGTCAGTTAATGCACAGAAGACATGCCCAGCATGGAGTGGCAGAAAGCACAGATGGGGTGAAAGGGATGAACGGACAAGGCCTGAAACGTGTGCTAGGCTCTCAGGCATGTATGTTGGACACACATGGGAAGGCCCTTCCAGGCTAGGCCAAGTGCCGGTAAGGAAGCTTCCTCCCTGGAGGAAAAACAAAAATCCACTGGGAAAACCATGCCAGGACCACAAGCTCCATTAATAAGAGCCTTCACCTGTAGTGAGAGATCCATCCAGCCATTTGGACATGGTGACAGGAGCATAGGTAAGCATGTGGGATTAGGTTGGGGGGTCCTGGGACAAGCTCGCACTCTCTTGGGTCTGGTCGGGTGATGGAGAGCAGCCTGGGTGTGGATCCTGGGAGCAGGAACTTTTGGGTCATCGGTTTCTTTTTCTTTTTCTTTTTTTTTTACGATTTTATTTATTATGTATACAACATTCTGCTTCCATGTATATCTGCACACCAGAAGAGGGCACCAGATCCCATAACGGATGGTTGTGAGCCACCATGTGGTTGCTGGGCATTGAACTCGGGAACTCTGGAAGAGCAGTCAGTGCTTTTAACCTCTGAGCCATCTCTCCTGCCCATCTGTTTCTTATGTAAGTGACTTCTCCCCGAATAAATTTAACCTATATTTAACAAAGTCCCATGTACTTTAATTTGTGCATCTACATTCATCAATCAAAAGAGATGGTCAGTGGTTACAAATGTGGAGGCGGACATGAGCTGCTGGTCGGGCAGCCTTTTTCATGAGTCCTGTGTGTTTTTCTTGCTGTATAGTTTTTGTTTGGTTTTTTGACACAGGATCTCAATATGTAAACCAGGCCAGCCTGGAACTCCCTCCCTAGAGCTGGGACTAAAGGTGTGTGCCACTGTGCTGGCATCTTATTATTAGGGTTTTGTTTTTTTTTTGGGGGGGGGGTTCGAGACAGGTTTCTCTGTATAGCTTTGGGGCCTATCCTGGCACTCACTCTGGAGACCAGGCTGACCTCAAACTCACAGAGATCCGCCTGCCTCTGCCTCCCAAATGCTGGGATTAAAGGCATGTGCCACCAGTGCCTGGCATGACATCTTATTTTTTTAGACAGGACCTCTCACCGAACCTGGAGCTCACCAATTTGGCTAGAATGGGTGGTCAGCTAGCCTCCTAAGCACTGGGTACACACTGCTGCACTTTGTTGATGTTTTTAATTTAAAAAAAAAAAATGGATGCTAAGGATTCAGCCCAGGTCATCATGCAACAAGTATCCACTGGCTAAGTTGTCTTCCTAACATCTATTTAATTAAGTTTTGGAGACCGGATTGTGCTTTGTAGTCTAGGCAGGCCTGAAATGCACAATCCTGTCTCAGCCTCCTAAATGCTAGGATTGCAGGCATATACCATCATGCCAAGCTTGTTTTGTTTGTAAACAGTCTGGTGGGAGGAGTTGAGGTCTCATATATGCTCAAGCCATGCCCAATGAGACAGTTTACTTCCTGTTGTCTGAACCAAGTATAGAACTCTCAGCTACCTCTCCAGCACCATGTCTGCCTGCGTATTGCCATGTCCCACCATGAAGATAACGGACCAAACCTCTGAACTATAAGCCACCCCCATTAAATGTTTTCCTTGGTAAGAGTTGCTGTGCTCATGGTGTCTCTTCTCAGCAGTAGAAACCCTAACTAAGACAGTAACCAAATGACTGCCAGGGCTTACCTCAGACCTTGGCAGATCATTTAAACTTGCTGTTCTCTGGGCCTCAGTTCCTCTTCTGTAGTCCTATGTGGGTATTGGTACTACCTACCTCAAGACCCATTAGGAAGAACTGCTTGATTTGTGAAGTTGCCTCCCAGAAATATAGTCTAAATTGGTACAAGCCTTAATCCCGCACTTAGGGACAGGAGGATTGCTATGAATTTGAGGCCAGCTTGGTCTATATAGTAAGTTCCAAGAATGTCTGGGCCACTAGGATGAGTCCCTATCTTAAAAGAGAATGAGAGAGCTGGGCAGAGTAGTCCCTTAAATCCCTGTACTTAGGAGACAAGCAGAAGGATCTCTGTGACAGACAGGTCTACATGTGTACCCCTGGCTTCCAGGCAAGCCAGGGGTACATGAAGAGACCCTATTTCAAAAGGGGGGTGGTAAAAACATGGAAAGATAATGAAACACATTATTCCAGCTCACCATGCACACTACTTGTGTCTGGAGTGGAGTCCCTGGGACTATTTTTGGAACATATCAACTATTTCTAAAATCTTCAACATTTTAAATATATATGTTTTATATGTATGAGTGTTTGGCCTGCATGTATTTAAGTGTACCACATGTGTGCCTGGTGTTTGCAGAGGCCAGAAGAAGAGGGTATTGGAGTCCCTGGACCTGGAGTTACAACCCAGTAAGTTACCATGTGGGTGCTGGGAACTGAACCCAGGTCCTTTGTAAGGGTAGCAGGCTCTTACCCACTGAGCCATCTCTCTCTCTCTCCAGCCACTCAACAATTTTTTTTTTTTCAGACAGGGTCTCCCTGGCTGGCATATAACTCACTAGACCAGGCTGGCCTCAAGTCACAGCAATCTACCTGCCTCTGCATCTGCCTCCAGAGTATTTGGATTAAAGGTGTGAGTTACAGGGGCTGGAGAGATGATGGCTCAGTGGTTAAGAGTACTGACTGTTCTTCCAGAGGACCTGGGTTCAAACATTCCCAGAACCCATATGACAGCTCACAACTATCTGTAACTCTAGTTCTAGGGGATCTGATACCTTCACCCCAATGCACATAAAATAATGGTTAAATAATTTAAAAAAAAATCCAAAAAAAAGAGGAAAGTTGTTTCTAAAAAAAAAAAAAAAGGTGTGAGTTACCATGTCCAGCCATCCTTGATTATTATAACATCATACATCATGTCTGGCACCAAGAAACAAACAAAAAACAAAGATTTGAAATCATGACTGTGGGCAGAATGTTTGAGCTTGAGGATCTAATATCTGAAGGGGTTTCTATTCCTCAAGGGTCTTGACCCAGCCCTTTTCCAGCGGCCTCAGAATCTTCATTTGTAAAATGCAGCTAAGTGACCTGGCCTGCCTGCTGTGGGGTCCTGCAGCCTGACACCCAAGCCTCCCTGCCATGCCCTATCCAGGCCCTCCAAAGCCTGGCCTCCTACCTCAGCTCCTCTAGTTTGCGATGAGCAGCCAGGGCCCCTTTGCTCCCCCGGGGGGTGTAGGCTGCCAGACAGCGAGCCACCTGTTGCTGCACCTGGTGCTCCCGAGCCCTGCGCATCTCAGCCTGCTGCCGCTCCTCCAGCTGCTGCCGTTCCCAAGCCTGCAGCAGGTTTCTGGTAAGGAAAGAGAGATGTCCATAGGGGATCGGGAGATTCAAAGAAGGTCAGGGTAGCATAGAGGGACTGTGGGAGGAAGTATGTGTCTCAGAGAGCCAACGTCCTGGGAAACAGTTGACATTTGTCATCGAAGCCAGGCTTCATGGAGCCTGCAAATGGTGGCTTACAACCAGCTTAAGGCCTTTCCCTGTTCTTCAGCAGTGAGATCCAGTTCTTATTGGTGTAGTTTTGTTTTTCAAGACAGGGTTTCTCTGTGTAGCCTGGAGGCTGTCCTGGAACTTGCTCTGTTGACAGGGGGGCCCAAACTCACAGAGATCCGCCTGCCTCTGCCTCCTGAGTGCTGGGACCAAAGGTGTGTTCCACCACTGCCCAGATTGAGATCTAATTCTTAACACTTGGCTCAGGCCTCTGAACACTGTAGAGCTCAACCTAGGCCTCCTGATCCCTGAGGAGCTCAGCACACAGCACACATTACCTTTGAGAAAGGGCCAGATCTCTAACTACTTTACTTGAAAGCAGCTAGGTTAATGCCTAACAGCTTGAGGCACAGTTGGTTTGGATGGATGGTCAGTTGTGTGGATAATTGTGTGGGAAGGAATAACAGTATGGGAAGGGATCAATATGGAGGCAAAAAGTGTGAATAGCTGAAGAGCAACTAAACAAACCTGAAGCTTTCTTCCCCAGATATCATAGCCAGTTTCCTCTCACCAATCAAGTCTTTGGTGAAATGTCATTTCTCCCAGAAAGACTTTCCCTTGGCTACTCTATCTCCTTTGTAGCAATTTCTTTCTCTAGTTTCCTACTTTGTTCGTTTCATTTCTTATGTATCCCTGGCTGGCCTTGAACTCTTTCTGTAGATGGGAATGACCTTAAACTTCTGAACCTCATGCCTCCACCCTCCAGAGTGAGGGGATTCCAGGCTGCACCACCACATTGGGCTTTAAAGCTATCTTAACGGAAAAAAAAAAAAAAACCTAGAAATTTTATATGCCCTGATTTTGTAAGAAACCATTAAACTGCCAGGCAGTGGTGGTGAATTCCAGCACTCAGTGGGCAGAGGCATGTGAATCTCTGAGTTTGAGGCCAACCTGATCTACAGAACAAGTTCTAGGCCAGCCAGGGCTATACAGAGAAACCTTGTCTCAGAAAACAAAAATTTAATTAATTAATTAATTAAAAGTAAAAAAGAGAGTGATCCTGCCTCAGAATGGTAGCAGAGAACCAGAGGACCAGCTCCTGCCACCATACATACATTCCCTTGTATGGTGATATACACCTGCAATCCTAGAACACAGGAGTCTTAGGCAGGAGGATTATAGCAAGTTCAGTGCCAATTGGGGTACATAACTAGTACCAGACATGGTAATTGTGGCTAAATAGTAAGGCTTGTCCCAAACAAAACAACTGACAAAAGAGAGCCACTCTCAACAAGGGCGACAGTGGAGAAATGGGAGCCTTTGTACATAGTAGGTGAGAATATAAAAACAGTGTAGAGGCTCAGTGCTTTAGAGCACGTGTTTCTCTAATAGAGGACCCAGGTTCAATTCTCAGCACCCACATGGGGTCTCACAGCCATCACAACTCCAGTTCAGGGAAACAGATGCCCTCTCCTGGGCCTCCAAGAGTACCAGACATGCACATGGGTCCACAGACATGCATGTAGACAAAACACTCATTTGCATGAAATAAAATAAATAAATCTTAGAGCTGGGGAGATCAGTGGTTAAGAGCACTGAGTGCTCTTCCCAGAAGACCTAGGTTCAATTCCCAGCACCCACGTGCTAGCTAATTAATAACCAGCTCCAGTTCCAGGAGACTGGATGCACTATTGAGGCCTTCCTGTTCATGAAGCACACTTGTAGTGCACAGACATGCATGTAGTCAAAACACCCACACACATAAAATAAAAATAATTTTAAAATAATTTTTAAAAAAAGTATAAGAAACAGGCCAGCCAGGTGTGATGGCACCTGCCTTTCTCAGCACTCAGGAGGCAGAGACAGGTAGATCTCTGAGTTCAAGGCCAGCCTGGTCTACAAGAGCTAGTTCCAGGACAACCTCCAAAGCCACAGAGAAACCCTGTCTCGAAAAAAATACAAAACAAAACAAAAAAAAAAACAAATAAAAAGTGTGTGATAATACACATTTTAATTAGTTTGATGCAGCCATACATATATACAACTTTTAACTAATGAAGAGTAAATCTATAAGAAAGGGGTATAGCGGGCACTATGAGAATCTGGTGACCAAGCGTGATGGTGCAGGTCTGTGATCCCTGCACCTAGACAGAGGCAGAAGGATCCAGAAGGATCTTTAAGGTGGCTCCAGCTGCATGGTAAGTTTAAGGCCAGCCTAAGATACTTGAGACCATGCCTCAGTCACTTCCTATCATCAGAAAAAATAATAATAATAATAATGCTGAGTGAATTTGAATTTGTCTCTTCCTCACATGCCACATCTAATCAGTCCCCAAGTTCCATTAAGTCAGACTATTAAAAAAAATCTCAGAACTGGGCCAGCAAGATGGCTCAGTAGGTAAAGGAACCTGCTGCCAAGCCTGACAACAATGTTAAGTTCAGTCCCTCAGACCCACACCGTGGAAGGAGGGAACTAACTCCCTCAAGTTGTCTTCTGACCTTCACACCTATGCTATGGTACTCACATGCCTGCACATGTAGACAATAAATAAATATAATAATTTTTTTTTTAGATCTAGAGGCTGAGGATATAGCTAGTAGAGCCTAGTGTTCTCAAGACCCTGGGTTTGATCTCCAGTACACACACACACACACACACACACACACACACAAACTAGGTCTCTAAGGAACTCTGGAGTGGGTCCCCTTCTCTCCATCCACACTGGAACATGGTTCAGGCCCTCATTATCCCTTGGCCAACAGCTGTCTCCTTGTTTCCAGGCTTCTCTGAGCCCATGGTCTCTTGCTGTAGCCCAAGTGCAGTAACTGGAACTAAACACACACTGGCCATGCATCTCCTTTCGTAGGCCTTAAATGTCCTGGGACTGGCCCGAGTCTTCCTCCCTCCTACCCTGAGGACTCATAAGAAGACACTCAATATATGTTCCGTTAATAGGCTGAAGGATGGATAGGAGTGAAGAAAGGAGTGAAAAGTGGCATTCGTCAGTACAGTAGGACAAGCAGACAGATGGATGTTATTAAGAGAGGGATGGATGGATGATCTGAAAGCCTGGCAAATGGTTAAAAGAATGAATGAACTTGAAAGAGAATGTCATTTGTAAAACTGTCCCCTTTCCTCCCCTTGCCCTCGGTTCCTGCTCTGCTTCCTCTTTTTCCTTACCTGGTGGCCTCCTGTCTTTTATGGAAGGTGCGATTAGGGAAGTTGGCAGACAAGAAACTTTCATCATCTCCCAAGAAAGGGGTCTTCCTATTTCTGGCAGAGGCCTGGACAGCTGCCCGCAAAGCATTCCAGGTCTGCTTTTGGGGACCTGTCCAAGGGAAAAATCAAGTTAGGGTCCCTGGGCAACCCCACTCAGCACCCAGGCAATCCCTAGCCCATCCCAACCTCTACTTCCTATCCCTACTGCTACCACCCCAACCCTCTCTGAGTGAAGGTCTCCCACAGCGTTCAGGCACTTCAGGCCTCCCAGCTGCACTCACCGCAATCCAATTCCTCCTGTAACTGCCTGTGTAGTCGCTCCAGGTCCCAGGGCCCCTTGAGGTCCTTGGCCCTTGGCTTCCCTCTCTGTGACTTTTGGAGGCTGTTGGAACTGGAGCTGCTTCTCTGGCTGTGGCCCTGCAGCTCCCCTTCTTCTGATGCCTTCTCTCCAGAATTCCTTCCCTTATCATAAGAACTGCCCTTCCTCCTTCGGGGAGCTCTGTTTTCCTCCTCCTCAGTCACCTCTGAGATCCACTCCTCCTCCAAGATCAAGCCCCTCCCTGGAAGCTGGGGCAGTTCCCCAGGGCTCTGAACCCTCTCTATCACCTCAGCATTCTGGCCTTCTAAAACATCCTCAGACTCTGACCCTGACCCTTTTCCTGGTGGGCAGAAGCCACCCTGGCTACACCGATCCAGCCCTTGGCTTTCTGCTTTGCCCACAGGGAGGGTGATGCTACTACAGCCTCCCAGCTGATGCCTCCTTTCCAGGGTTTGCACTTCAGTCTTCTGGCCAAAACCAGTGTCTTCTGAGAGGCTGGCTACCGACTTGAGTCTGGACTTGAGCTGGGGAGCTGCTGGGGGCAAAAGTAGGGATCGGTGGCCCAGGGCCACAGAGGAACTTTGCTGAAGCAGAGTCTGGCCATCTATGATGAAGCTTTCCCAAGCCCACTGGAAAGGAAAGGAAGGTTTCCGACAAGACGAAGTGAAGAGACTGAAAGAGAACACAGAAGTCAGAGTGAGGCTCTTCCTGGAGCCCAGTACACACACACCCCCTCCCCAATCCCTCCCAAGCCACTTACTCCTCTGCCTCAGCTGAGCCTTGTCCTTTCTTGTTCCGCCTCCGGGGCTTGCGTTCTTTCTTCGTTGTCTGCCCAGCACTCTGAGACCTCTGCAGCTGGCAACTCTGACTCTGAAGGCTGTCGCCACTCCCGAGGTTCCCCTGGGCAGGACAGGGGAAGAGGGCAGCTTCGGTACCACTCTGCATCTCCCTAGGGGCTTCCTCCCTTTACATTCTGTCCCGGCCATGGCTGCCTCTAAAACTCACTGATCACTCATTACCTCTTCTGTTAAAATACTGAGAGCTGCAGACCCAGGTTGGGGAGGTGACTCACTAGGTAAAGGCAATTGTCACTACTCCTAACAGCCTGAGTTTGAACCAGGGGACCCACAAGATAGAAGGAGAGAACCAACTCCCACCTGTTGTTCTCTGACCTCCACTTGCACAACACACACACACACACACTCTCACACACACACACACACACACACACACAACACACACACACACACTCACTCAAAATAAAAAGCTGCAGACCCTTGGGCACCAGACATTTAGGCACTTACATATTTAACCTTTCCAAAGAAATACCCAAGGAAATGGAGGCTTGCTTTTACCCATTTGCAGGCAAAGAGTTAGCCTCTAGCACTTCTAAGAGCAGAGGCCACATGGCTGGTGAGTGGTGGGGCTGGAACCCACACATGTTGTCACTGTTTTCAAATCCCAAATTTGTCACCATTGAACTCCGCTGTGAGAGAAGTGTCCAAATATTCCCAACACACAGAGATGACAATTGCCCTGATTTGATTGTGTATAAATATTATCAGACTGTTCCCCATTAATATATATTATATTGCTGTTGTTGCTGTAAGCTTTTGTTGTTTTGTTGAGATAGGGGCTGAGGATGCTTTCAAACTCACTGTATAGCTGAGGATAGCTTTTGTTTCATTTTGGTTTTTGAGACAGGGTTTCTATGTGTATCCCCTAGCTGTCCTCGAACTCGCTCTTTAGACCAGGCTGGCCTCAAACTCTGGGAGATCCACCTGCCTCTGCCTCCTGAGTATGGGGATTAAAAGGCGTGCGCCACCACCGCATGGCTGAGGATAGCTCTGAACAACTGATTCTCCTGTCTCTACCTCCCAAGTGTTGGAATGACAGGCTGCACCAGCATGCTTGATTTGGACTTTTTTTTTTTTTTTTTTCCCCCGAGACAGGGTTTCTCTGTGGCTTTGGAGGCTGTCCTGAAACTAGCTCTTGTAGACCAGGCTGGTCTCGAACTCACAGAGATCACCTGCCTCTGCCTCCCAAGGGTTGGGATTAAAGGCGTGCGCCACCAACGCCCGGCTGATTTGGATTTCTTTAAACTTAGGAAAAGGTCTGGGTATGATGGCACATACCTGTAGCCCCAGATACTTAGGGAACTGAGATGGGAGGATTGTGAGTTCTAGGACAGCCCAGATAATTTTGGTGGGAGCCTGTCAAACAAACAAACCCTCCACCACGACCACATTCAAAACAACGACAACAAAAGCTCACAATTTTTTGAATGTCACACAGGGCTCTGGACTTAGTGCAACAAAAGTAGAAGGAAGGGAGCTATTTTACTTCCTAAAAGTCTTTTTCTCCCTGTAGTGTGCCCAAAATGTTCTACCTATCCTCTATGGTGCCTGTCCCAGGCCTTTCTGTTACCAGGACCTGAGCTCTAGTCTCATGTTTCCTCAAGAGCCTCAGCCAGCCCTAGCCTCTCTAGGCTAAGATGCGGCTGGGCAGTTGGAAGTTTCCCAGCTGGGCCTGCCTCCCTCACCTGCTCCTCCGAAGAGATGCTTGATAGAAGTTTGAACAGCCCTGTGGCTGTCGATGGAACCAAGGGCTCTATGCTGTGCCTTGATCTCTCCGATACAGCCCTCGTCAACAGTTGGTCAGATTTTAGCATATTGATATCCTGCCCTTTCCCACCCCCACCTGCCAGCTCTGGAACTGCCCGCTCTGCCATCTCCATGACAACCAGGCTATGACCAGTCAAATGACCCTAGCAAAAAGTACTAGGCAGGGGTTAGCCAGGGTATATGACACTGACTTCCCATCAGAGATGGTGTTCAATGAGAACCAGGACGGCACCCTGCCTCTGTCCCTACTATCTAGACTAATATAAGCTCTCTACCTCTTTAAGCCTATGTTTGCCCATCTGTTATGAAAGGGACATCAGAACTCATCATCCCAAAGGGCCCTCAGGTCCCAATGCCCATGCAATTGGTTCCTGAGGCAGGCATGTCCCTCAGCCTGCCTTCCCCTGGCTGGGCCAGACCACCACTGCATATCATTCTCCTCAGAGAGGCAGCAAGTGAGTCCGAGTGGACAATGGCTGTGCTGACATTTTCTGTGTAGGCCTGTGTGCATGTGTACTTTGTTATGGTTTTTATAGATTTTGTTTTGTTTTGCTTATTTTAGGCAGTGTCTCACATGTAGCCCTAGCTAGTCTAAAAGTCACTATGTAGATCAGGCTGTCCTTGAACACACAGAGCTCTTCCTGCCTCTGCTTCAAGAGCACTGGGATTAAAGATATGCACTACCATGTCCAACAAGTTCTCACTTTTTCTGTGTGGATGCTGGGAATCTCTCGGGTCCTTATGCCTGTGTAGCAACTGAGGCACCATCACAGTTTCATCCCCCTTTTTTATTTGGTTATAGGATTAGAATACAAAGCTTCATGAATACTAAGTGTATACTCACCACTGAGCCACAGCCCTTCTACTGAGGATCTTGTCTTTTTTCTTGCTGTTTTGTAGGAGCTTTTTTGTTTGTTTCTTTAAGCAATGTCTGGTATAGCCCAGGCTGGCCTCAAGCTCTGTGTGTAGCTGAGGATAACTTTGACTTTGATCTTCCTGTTTCCCCTCCCAAGTGCTGTGTAAACAGACATTTCCTGTTCCCACCACCTGGTCCCAAATACCTGACTCAGAGGCTTATATTAATTATAAATGCTTGGTCAATAGCTCAGGCTTATTATTAACTAGCTCTTACATGTTAATCCATATTTATTTATGCTCTGCCATGTGGCAGTACCTGTATTAACATGGTACATTCATCTTCTGCTCCCTCTATATCTGGCAGAGATTCCCCTGACTCTGCCCCACTTGCTCCCATCATTCTCAGTCTGGCTTTTCTGCCTAACCTTATCCTGTCCAGCTATTGGCCAGTCAGCTTGTTCATTAAACCAATCACAATGACAAATCTTTACAGTGTACAAAGGGATTATTCCAGAGCATTTCCCTTTTTGTCTAACTAAAAAGGAAGGTTTGGAGCTGGAGAGATGACTCAGTGGTTAAGAGTGCTGGCTGCTCTTCTAGAGGACCTGAGTTCAATTCCCAGCAACCACATAAAAGCTAAGAACTGTCTGTAACTCTAAGATCGGACACCATCTCACAGACATACATTCAGGCAAAACAATAGTGCTCATAAAATAAAAATAAGTAAATGAATATAAATAAATAAATAAAAAGGAAGGTTTTTAATTTAATATAGTAAAATTATTTACAACAAAAATAGTTATCAAATAAGAATTATAGTAACAATATCCAATCCATTTGTATTTGGCAAAATTAAAGAAAATACTCTATCATCTATCTTATCTTTGTGAGTCCAAAGTTTTGTATCTAATTTATCTGTTTTGTTTTGTTTTTTCCTGAGACAAGGTTTCTCTGTGTAGCTTTGGAGCTTGTCCTGGAACTTGCTCTGTAGACCAGGCTGGCCCAAACTCACAGAGATCTGCCTAACTCTGCATCCCAGTGCTGGGATTAAAGGCGTGCACCACCACCACCAGCTTTTAAATCAGTTTTTAAAAATCTGTATCTGTTTCTACCCTTCCTGTTCATTCTCTCAAGCCTACACACATTTTCTAAACACACTTCAATCCATTTGGAGGCCTTTTTGTCTGAATATGTCCTTATTATATATCTCTAGTCCTTTCTGTCTGTATGAGCAAAAACCCTATATCCACCACACAGCAAACATCTGGGAGAGGCCTCTCTGTACCTCAGCCTGTGTGAGACCGAGGGAATCTGCCAAACTGCAGTTCAGCCCCAAATGCCGAGGCCATGGCATGCACCCCTGTACTGTGAACCTCATGAGAGACATGAACTATGAAACTGCTCTTGGCTCCATTTTTGTGTGTCTATAACACTTTTTTGTTTTGTTTTGTTTTGTTTTTTTGAGACAGGGTTTCTCTGTGGCTTTGGAGGCTGTCCTGGAACTAGATCTTGTAGACCAGGCTGGTCTCGAACTCACAGAGATCTGCCTGCCTCTGCCTCCCGAGTGCTGGGATTAAAGGCATGCGCCACCACCGCCCGGCTTCTATAACATTTTTTTAAAAGCTTTCTCAGTCTTTATGTGGGTGTCTGTGCCCCACATTGGGTGTCATATGCAAACAATATTTCCTGTCCTGACCACCCAGTCCCAAATAACCAACTCAGAAGCATATATTAATTGTAAATGCTTGGTCAATAGCTCAGGCTTATTACTACTAGCTCTTACATTTTAAGTTAACTTTTTTTTTTTTTTTCAAGACAGGGTTTCTCTGTGGCTTTGGAGGCTGTCCTGGAACTGGATCTTGTAGACCAGGCTGGTCTCAAACTCACAGAGATCTGCCTGCCTCTGCCTCCCGAGTGCTGTAACCCATATTCTTCACTTGTGCTCTGCCATGTGGCACTCCCTCTACTAACATGGCAAGTTCATCTCCTACATCCTCTGTGTCTGCCAGAGATAGCTCTGACCACACCCTTCCTCCTCCCATCATTCTCAGTTTGGCTTTCCTGCCTAACCTTATTCTGTCCAGCTATTGGCCAGTCTGCTTGTTTATGAAACCAATCACAGCAACAAATCTCTACCGTGTAGAAAGGGATTATTTCACAGCAGTGCTGGGATTACTGGCCTGCACCACCATGTCCAAGTGGAATCTTAGATTATAACTTTCTTCACTGGTTTTGGATCTATTAAAGTTTGTGTTATTTTGTGCCAATTTGAGCATTCCACGTTTTTTTCTAGAAATGTTTCCACCTCACTTAAATTTTATGTTTATTTGTGCTATTCTTTGGTATTTGATGTTTTAAACATCTCGAGGCTCCAGGGTTTAAGCTGTGTAGACCCCATTGGCTCTGGGAACTCTAGGCTCACCTCATCTTTGGGGGAAGCACATGATGACTAGTTGGAAGATGCCACTGAGGTGTAAAGGGAAGAAAAGCATAGAATTATCAAATGAGTAGCTGCTGGTCAAAACACAAATTTTCAATTGTATTTATTGTCAATTTCAATTGTCTTTATTTTTGGTTTTTCAAGACAGGGTTACTCTGTGTAGCTTTGGAGGCTGTCCTGGCACTCGCTCTGGAGACCAGGCTGGCCTCAAACTCACAGAGATCCACCTGTCTCTGCCTCCGAGTGCTGGATTAAAGTCTCGTGCACCACCACCACCCAGCAAGCCTGTTGTCTTAGTCAGAGTTTCTAATGCTTCAGTGAAACACCATGACCAAAAATCAAGTTGGTGAGGAAAGGGTTTATTTGGTTTACACTTCCATGTCACTGTTCATGTCAAAGGGAGTCAGGACAGAAACTCAATCAGACAGAAACTCAACCTGAAGGCAGGAGCTGATACAGAGGTTGTGGAGGGTGCTGTTTAACTGGCTGGTTCTCAGCCTGCTTTTTCTTATAGAACCCAGGACCACCAGCACAGGGATGGCTCCATCCAAATAGTCTGAGCCCTCCCCCATCATCACTAATTAAGAAGTACCCTACAGGCTTGCCAACAGCCTGGTTTTATGGAGGCATTTTCTCAATGGAGGTTCCCTCTTCTCAGATGACTTCAGCTTCTGTCAAGGTGACATAGAACCATGTTATTAGTATTCTCTAGTGAGACAATAAGCAGTGCAGGTAGATAGATTTATTAGCAGAATTAACTCATGTTAACTATGGTGGCCAAGATGCTCCACAATAGCTCATCTGTCTGCATGCTGGAGATCTGAGACATTAGGTGTGTGGCCCAAGAAAAAGCTGAAGACCTTAGAGCCAGAGAACCAGTGTTATAACTAAGTCTATGGCCAGAAACCTGAGAACCTGAGGCCCCCTGGTGCAAAAGCCAGAGACTTAAGTTCTTTTAATTTTTTTTAAATTTCATTTATTTAATTTTTTGGTTTTGGGTTTTTTTTGTTTTGTTTTTGAGACAGGGTTCTCTGTGTAACAATCCTAGTTGTCCTGGAATTTGCTTTGCAGACCAGACTGGCCTCAAACCCACTGAAATCTGCCTGCCTCTGCCTCCTAAATGTTGGGATTTAAAGGTGTGCTCCACTGCCACCACCACCCAGCTTAATTTTTTTATTAATTTAAAATTTTATTGTGTGTGTATCTCTGGGGTACACACCTGCCACAGCATGAATATGGCAGTCAGAGGACAACAAAACTTTGGGAGTCAGTTCTCTCCTTCTCAGGGATTGAATTCAAGTCATTAGTCTTAGCAGCAAGTGCCTTTATTTGCAGAGTCGTCTTACCACCCAGGAAACTGGAATTCTAACTTCAAGGTGGCAGCAGAAGCCTACCCCAGCTCTCGGAAAGCCCAATTTACCGGCTGTATATATTCTGTCTGTCTCCAGCCAATTGGATGACGCCCATCATCATCAAGGGCTCATCTCTCGCCTTAATCCACTGAGACTCTGATTTCTGGAAGCATCACACAGAGTGAAGATGTCTCTGTCCTTCCTTGCCTGCATAAAGCACCCTCTGACTGGTTTAATAAAGAGCTGAACGGTCAATGGGTAGGCAAGATAGGCAGAGGAAGGAATTCTGGGAAAGAATCTAAGGTGGTAGATTCACCAGCCAGACACAGAGGAAGTCGACCATAAATTGGAAAGGTAATGACCAAGAAGCAGAATGTAGATTAATATAAATGGGTTA